TGAGGGATCCACCGAGAGCACAGCTTTTTCACACTCAAATATTTGTGTAGTATTGATTGTATATGACTCATGCCTACGCCTAAAGATGTCCGAATCTCATTGTATGTCACATGCCTGTCTGTTTGGATCATAAGGCGCACAGCATCGATGTTTTTGTTGTTCACAACAGTGGATGGGCGACCATAACGAAATTCGTCTCTGGGATTCACACGACCGCGTTTGAATTCTGCAAACCAGCTTGAGCTTGTCGTCTTGCATGATGCTTCATCGAAAAAGCAGTTTAAAACCGAGCGAACCTCCGCTGAGCTGTTAAATTACACTTACATTCGTAGAAAATCATATTACGAAAATTTTCACGAGTTAAATCCATTGTGATGTAGACAACCAATTTCTGAAATGACGTTACAATGTAGAAACAAGAGACAGTCAGATGAAATAAACTGTATTCTACAGCCAAAGAGTTCCAGTTTCAAATGTTGTAATTACTTTTTATTTATTGTTTATGTAAGTAGCCAGTTCCTGAAACTTATAGTGCGCCCTATGTAGTATAGAGTATTTTTTTAAGATACTATTATGTTCCCGATAAGTTTTATCGAATTGAATGTTATTCCTTCTTCCATTGAAACGTATTAAGCATGAATAGTTTAGTTAAAACTCTGAATCACAAATGTTTTCTGTTCAAAAGGGTAATATTATAGACCTCTCTGAACAATTTCAGGATTTTGGCAAAACTGCGGAACTGCATAAGAAATAAGAAGTATTCGAAAATACTGTTAAATGTGTAAGCTTTAAATACGTATAGGAGAAGCAACTTTAAAATTATGCTCGTGAAAAATCTGTGTTTTAGAGATAATACCCTGTTCATCATTGGACCAACGATTTTTAAGAGTTGTTAGGAATATAAATTTCTAAGAGGTTACAGCACTTCCAAATGTATATTACTTTGTAGCTTTCCAGTGAGCGCCGACCTGTCTGCCCAACGAGCGTGACAAATGTGTAAATTACTGCTTTTTTTGAAAAGACTTACGTTAAGTTCTGAACTATAATAGAGTGAGGTCATGATTACGGTTCGGTAATTTACGCTTGATCGAACACTATTGTCCTTCGGGATTTACCGAATTGGTTCAATAGATTTCGAGAAAGGTAACTTTTTTCATGATTATCAGGTGGCGGCAAGAACAAGTCGTATGCCTAGTTGTAAGTAACTTACTTACGCTTACTTTTAACAATTAGAGCTTTCAAGCGCAAAGACCTGAGGAGCAGTGCCACCGCGCCTTTCACCCTGAGACTTAAAGTTGACAATATTTGGTTTTAAAATCAGAACTTAAGTTTTAAATTTTTTTTAATTGATTTTCATTTATTTTTGTGAAATTACTAAAAAGTCGTTGAAAAACGAAATACAAAGACACGACAACAAGCACATATAAAAATTCGTGAGGTCCGATGGTTCGTTCCGTGGCTTAGTTGGTATAGCGTCTGGCACTGTATGTTAGAAGACGTCGGTTGGAATGCGGCCGGATCGAAGCAATTTTTTCTGAGTGTTCGATCTTTGTATTAATGATTAGGACTTAAGCTTTTAAAATATATTTTTTTAATATAATGTCAAGTGACGGGACGAACAAGTCGTGCGCCTGATGGGACGTCACACGCCTGCCCACTACAGTTGCAGTGCCACTGCTTTAAATCGCAAAGATATTAGGGGCACTGCCACTGCGCCCGTCACCCTGAGAGTTAAGTTGACAAGTCCTATGTGCCTGTAATTTCACTACACCCTCATTCTTCAAAACCGGAACACAGTAAAGTTGACATTACTGCTTGGCAGAAATAGGTAAGGTGGCAGTAGTACCCTGGACGAACTCTTTCACAAGGAGCTCTACTGCTACTTGAATGGTATAAACGTAATATCTTATTCACCTCAACGATTCGGACGAATTGGAACGTCCAAGATCTCGAAGAGAATTAAGAGGCGGGTTTTGTAAACTATATTTACTATGAATATTAGGGAAGTAAGTAAGAAACAACTATTTAGTAGCAGTAGAGCTCCTTGTGAAGCAGTTCGTCCAGGGAAGCATTACCTATTCCTGCCACCAAGCAATAATGTGAGCATTATTGCATTCCGGTTTTGAAGATTAAGGGTGCTGGTGAAATTACAGGCATAAGGGACTTGTCAACTTTTGTTTCATGGTGAAGGGCACAGTGGCAGTTAAGTTAGTAAAAGTTACGCCGTGTCCATTATGTCAATATTACATTTTCATTAAGTTTTACTATCATAATTATATTACTTTAATTACATTACATATTATATATAAGATTGTAGTTATGCCAATCGTATTGAGTAAACTAGAGATGTCAATCGGTTTACGTGATCTGCGAGTTAATTTTGCGGTCCAGAAAATCTTTACGGAGTATAGCACCCAAAGAAGGTGTAATAAATCCATCTCTACACACAAAAAGTATAAAAGTTAGTGGTATAAAGTCACCAAACCTGAAATACACTAAAGTTCTCCAGTGCCCCAGATCTCAGTATAAGCTTCTTTGCGACTCGCATTCAAGCATCGTGTTTGCTCGGCAATGTTTGCTCCCTGACTTTTGTTGGAACGAGCCGAGTCACATTTTTGCGGTTTATTTACGAAGAAAGCGTTGGTTTTTTAAAAGCAAATTTATGGAACGTTTATACACAAATGCTGTAACACTATGTATTTACCTATGCTCCTAGTGAAAATTAAAGATCTTCACAAATTTTGCGATATACATTTGAATAGCGTGATAATATTCATCATTTCAAATTACTTACACAATTAACACAAAATGCGAGAACATTGAATAGTGTAGTAGTTCTCTCAATAATTCATAGTTTTTTTTTTGACAGGGCATTGTGATTATAAGAAAAGACACCTAGCGGCGTCACATTCAAGTGCAGGGTACTTTGTAACCAATACTGTACGCGGTACTCTGAACTCTCTTAGGGTGGTTTATTGGGTGGAAAATGGAGAACCAAGTCTTTCATAGAACGGTCGAGAGAGGGCGGTGTTCAAATATAAAAGAAGGAAACGTATTACACCTAATACGTTTCCTTCTTTACAGTTTTCCCTCCAGTTTCTTACTCATATGGTGATAGGCTCTTTGTAACTAAACATATTATGTACATATTTATTATTTACATTATTTATTTCGCATATCATAGGTCACGACAACCCGATAGAGCTAAACCGGTTACTATCATGGATTTTTGTCATCCAAGAACCTACGCAGGAGCTGTCTAATAAACTTTTAGTGCGACGTTTTTGTATCTCTATAGTTTTGAATTTCGTAAATGGCAAATTTTGAACACAAACCCGAATCTTATTATTAAAGTGCCATTTGTAACTTTGTGAAGACTATCAATACAAGCCAGTTTATTTCTTTATTAATCATTTAAACGTGCAGCTTTTACTACTAATGCATTGCGTGCCTTTACCATGACTCTGCTGGAATTACAGGCACAGGGAACTTGTCAACTTATGTCTCAGGGTGAATAGTGATCGTGCCTCTCAGATCATTGCGATTTAAAGCTCCAAGTGACACAGGAATGGACAGGCTCGCTTACCACCAGGCGCATGACCTGTTCGTCCTGTTCGACCTGTCCCGTCACATGATATCATAGAAGTCTCTTTTTATGATAAAATAAGTACGCATTTGACCGCGTTATGGAATGTCGATTTCCTACTACAAGTGTAAAATTTTACAATTTAATAAATCTCTCTTACAGGTGGAAACCTATGATCTCAATTAAGAGATAACAGATCGTAGTCTAAAATTTGGGCCTTGTCGCGACCTGTAATATTTTATTCTATATTAAGTAGTATGCTAATTTCAAATTTCATATATATCAGATGAGCTGAGTAATTCTGTTGTTGAAAATTACGTAGTTTGAGCGGATGCCAAGAAAGCTAGGCTTGCCTCAATGAATGGCTTTCGATAATATAAATCTATTAATGAGAATGGTACTTGAGTTTATAACAAACCAAAGCGATTCCAGGAACCCCGAAAGGATGACGATGGCGAATAAAAGAAGTGGATACAAAATGAAACTCTATTGTTTTGGAAGTATAAGTTATAATAAAAGTTCATATAATTAAGTAAATCATAGCACAAAGGGTCAGTAGTTATACTAGCACAGTGTTCGAAATATAGTTTTATTACGTGAGCATTATTATTTTGTTTTAAATACAATAGCTTACCCCAGTACTTTATTGCTTTATTATCAAAACGATGCCGATGATAGATGAAATTTTGTATGGACTATACTCCAATACTTCCCCTTTATTGAAGTACATGCCACACTAACAATGGCAATGATTATAAATGTATTTTCATATCATTAAAACGCATTTGTAGTAATATACAATAGATTATCCATTGGTACCATACTCTGCCTGTGCGTTTGCTGTAATATAATATTTGGTCAAAGCTTCGAATGTGCGCTGAAAACTTACTATTATAACATGTGTAAATTTCCCCAATTTACACATCACATTACAGATAGGAGACACCTAAAAAAACTATAAGAAATCTTGAATTGAAAGAAATCTTAAGATCAATTCACAACTCTTTCATAGAAACCTTTCAAAGAAGCTACAACATCCACACGTATTAGGGCTAGATTCGATAGTCTTACAAAGGTACAGGTAGAAAGCAGCTTCAAAGCTATCCTTCTCTAAGTATATCCACCCTATTCCAAAATTCAGATCACTCCTGAGAAAGGAGATGGTCCCCATAAATAAATTTCTAGATCAACTTTGCTTACCCAACTCGTAGGCTAATTAGAGGTCTAAGGCAGAAGTCACAAAACTAGCAGTTACTCACAAGAAAAATTCGAAAAAGAAGATAAACCTGAACTAAATCTAGTACTTATCTAAATTTTAGTAATCGACTGTTTAAAACCTATAGAACTACAAAACTTGCCAAAAAGCGATCAATCTAATGCTAAAAAAGCTAAATGTTGTCCTAAACTTATTCCTAAAAATATCGTTGAATTGTGCTCTACACTTAAAGATTTTAATTGTGACTAATTTTGTATTATGAATGTTGATATAAATATAGATTAAAGTGAACTGCTTTAATTTTTCTTTTTAAAACTAGTTTAGTGTCTAATTTGTTTGTTAGATATTTAGCTTAATTCGATAAATGTGTTTAATGAGAGACAAATATTATGATATTTTACGCAATTTGAGTTAGAGGCACTTTTCAAGTGGCTATATTATGAACGACAGATACATTGTGCATTATTGCTATAATTTTAATAATAGTTTCACTTTCCACGATAAAAGTTTAATTTAACTTAATTATAATATTAAACGACTGGTAAATTTTATCACAAATATTGTAAACATTTGGACTGAGTATTTTTATAATACGTTAATAGTTTTGTTCGGCATGTGTTACAGACTTTGCGTCGTTTAAAAATACTTTGAAAGCGTCTTAATTTAGCATTACGTTTACAACCAATCTTTTATACCATTTCCTATAGATTTGTCCGTCTTGACTTTATCTAAGAGAGTGCCTTCTCTATTCAATCCATTTTCAAATTCGTGATATTATTTATTTTTGTTTTATGCATCTGGTGGGCGTATTTCTACGGTAACCGATGTGGGGCCTGGCGTTGTGGGCGAACGAAGAGTTGCTGACCTCAGAGAGGTGGCAGAGTGGCCGCTGCTTGCCCTTGATCCTCGACGAGATCCTGTGAACATTTAGGCACTATGAAATACTGCAATTCTCATGCCATTTGGTGAAACATGCGTGTACGGACTGTCTAAATGAAAAGGCTTCTTCTTCATGCTCGGTAAAAGTGAATTCTATATTTTTGACTCACAAGCTCGATGATAAGCTTTCTAATAGACATTCATAAGTAGTAAGCAAGATCTTATTGTACTTGGAGAACTTAGTCTTTCTGGTTAGAAAGTTATTAATAGATTTAGGTGGCAAAACTATTACACTTGTAAAGGTGTTCAAAACGTGTCTATTTACTTTGATAATATTTAAAATGTAATAAACAGTGACTGTAACGTGTTATGTAGAAATAGTTACCAAATAAAATATTTGAATGAAATGGATGCATACTGGCCGATCAATGGGATAAAATTATGAAACGTTACCCAAGAAAAAAGAATCACCAACTGGTTCTATACTGGCAACCATAATAAACATGCATTTTAAAGCAGTAAAATTAAAAATATTCGTATAATACTGCATGAAAACAAACCTACTGGTTTCAAGCTCAAACTTTGTAATATGGGGGACCAAAGTCATGCAAAACTAGTACTTATCTCATTCATATGAAACTTGGAACTTTGAAACAAATTTGAAAAAAGCAAAATGAAATTTTCAAATTAACCTGAAGGTTTTCGGTGTAGCTGATGACTTTGGTGATGGCGTGCTGTTGATAGATGAAACCAATGTTAAAGACAGTGATAATTTGGGAAGTGTGTTAAAATAAAATCATAATAACGAAGACAAAGATGCAGAAAGGAGAATTAAAAACACGATGAGAGCAAATAGTTGAAACATAGAACACATTTCAGGGTTACATGAAAAACATCGAACAGTACAAAGAAAATGGGTTAAATTGAAGAAGAATGAAAGTGTAAAAAGAGTAAAAGTTAGAAATAAACACATAGAGTTTTAAGAAGATGCAAAATGTTTTCAATCGACTTTATACCAGTATTAGGTGAATGTGGTCTTAGTTCCTGTTGGCTAGCGTGCCTTGATGGGGGACGCATGCTAACACGAGACCCACGGCGATCCTGAAAATATTACAACTAATTATGAACTGTAAATATAATGAAAAGACATGGTCTATAACGTTACTGTAAAAGAAGCGTCACAGAAAATATACACGTAAAATTTCAGTTTAAGGTCTTAAAGGTATTGTTTCAGAATAAATGTTCGCATTATAGACCTCCTCAATAACAAACCAAATTTTGTATCAATTGTATGTAGTAGACAGCTAAGAAGAGATACTAATGATATACGACACTGATTTCTTCTTTTATTATTTATTGTTCATGTTAGCAATAGTCAATTTTATTTCGTTGACTGATTAATATGACATTTTGGACTAATGTGACGTTTAGTAGCAGTAGAGCTCCTTGTGAAAGAGTTTGTCCAGGTTACTACTGCCACCTTGCACATTTCTGCCGACAAGCAGTAATGTGAATATTACTGCGTTCCGGTTTTGAAGGGTAAAGGTGCTGGTGAAGTTACAGGCCCAAGGGATTTGTCAGCTTATGTGTCAGAGTGGAATGCCCCTCAATCTTTGTAATTTAAAGTTCTGAGTGGCACTGCAACCATTATGGACAGGCATGTCGTTTACCATCAGACCCACGACTTGTTCATCCCGTCTGTGGATTCAAATCCGGACTCGCATCTCTGACTTTATCGGAATTTATGTGCGAAATTTAATTTGAAATTTACGATGAGCTTTTCGGTAAAGGAAAACATCGTGATGAAACCAGCACGTCGTAGAAGGTTGACAACCTTCGGAAAATATGTGAAGTCTCTACCTGTATTGGGCCAGCGTGGCGGACTATGGCTTAAACCTGAGAAGAGACTCGTGCCCAGCAGTGGAACGTGTAAATTTTTTGATAATGACATAGAATTTTATGATTTTATTCTCCTTACTTTTTTAAATTATTTTCCAAACATAGACAAGTATTATAACTCTCATATAAAGTGATCCCAAGATATTTAGACACTTTTTCTTAGTGGAATGACGCTTTTTCCGAGATTATCATAGTTTCAATTTACATGTGATTTAAAAAATTAGTTATATATTAGAAGTTATTATTTCCAGCTGAAGTAAGTTAGACTGGTGGCAAAAGTGACACTTTTTACGCACGCTTTGATTATAGAACTGCTTTAACGTAGCCTTAAAACATTTCCAGTGTGAGGTTAGGTAAATATATTTGGCTACAAACATTTGTTAGTGATTATTCGAAAATTCGCTTTGCTAACAATGTACATTTTAAAGGTTTTGTGAGACGGCGATTTGTTACTAATTACCCCTACCCTGGTACAAAAGTAACACCAATTGAAAATAATAAAATGCAAAATATAGAAAAGTGCGAATGTTTTTATTATTAAAAGGAACCTCATTTTAGTATTGTTTTAATGAGATGTAATACAATAATTATACTGACAAATAAAAACATGTAAAAACAAACAAAAATAGTAGTCTTAATTTTAATGGCAATGCTTTTTATGGCCAACAATTTGAAATTTAACCAGAACCACTTGAATTAATATAACTAATCTAAGCACAATTAACGTAAATGCAAAATTTTGTACGCGAAAATTAGATTTTAGTTTGAATGAGATGTTGTTTGTGACAAATGCCTCCTCTGTTACTATTACTCCCAGAGCATAGTATTAAAGTATCTGTTACCATTTCACAGGTTACAATATACATTAAGGCGCACAATAAGTTTCCGGAACTGGCCAATTACATAAACAATATTTAAAAAGTAATTACAACATTTGAAAATGGAACTCTTTGGTTGTAGAATACAGTTTGTTTCATCTGACTGTCACTTGTTTTTACATTGTGGCGTCATTTTAGAAATTGGTTGTCTACATCACCATTGATTTAACTCGTGAAAATTTTACACGACTTTAAGTGTAACTTAACAGCTCAGCGGAGCATCGCTCGGCTTCAAACTGCTTTTGGCAATGAAGCACCATGCAAGACGACTATTTATAGCTAGTTTGCAGAAATCAAACGCGGTCGTGTGAATCTCAGTGAAGAATTTCGTGATGGTCGCCCGTTCACTGCTGTGAACAACAAAAACATCGATACTGTGCGCCGTATCCAAACAGACAGGCATGTGGCATACCATGAGATTCGGGCATCTTTAGGCATAGGCACGAGATAAATACAATCAATACTACACAAACGTTTGGGTGTGAAAAAGCTGTGCTCTCGGTCGATCCCGCACAACTTGACTGAGGCTCAAAAAACGGATCGCGAATGCCATGCTTACCAGATTCAACAAAGGGGCGTTAAATTTGGTGTGTGACGTAGTAACAAATGATGGAACATGGATTTATAGTTACAATTCCAAAACAAAGCAGCAATCGAGCGTAAGGGTCTTTCGAGACGAGCCGAAACCAACAAATGTGTCGCAAAGTGCATGCAAAGTGTCTCTAAGCGGATGATTGCTTCTTTTTTTAATAAAACTGGACACGTGGCTACTGTTGCTTTGGAGAATTGTTGTACCATGAAAAGTGATTGGTACACGACCATTTGTTTTCCGGAAGTTATTAACAAACTCCGTAAAAATAACCATAAACGCCGTATCATCTTGCACCACGATAATGCCAGTTCACACACGGCCAGACAGACAAATGAATTTTTGAAAGTGAACAATTATCATTACAGAAACTTATAGTGTGCCCCACGTAATAATGTTTGCAGACTATGTTCTAAGGAAGGTTTTTTCCGTAAACTTTTTATTCTTAGTACTTCTCTGCCTGTGGTGTAAATGAAGTTGTTAATAGAAGGTATGTACTCGTATTATTGAAACTAGAGCATTTTTGTATTGTCCAAGTTAATTTACATTTTTTTAATAATATGATGCAATTAAAAGGTGTGTTTTATTCACGTTTGTGCTTGTTTAATAAGTAAATAAACATTTATTTGTTACATTTCTTAAAACATTAATATTCGGATTTAGTTGATTAATGAAATAATAAAAAATATTATAATTATTAATACAAAGATCTATATATGATAAGATCGATAGATAATTATAAGAAACTAGTGGAGTAATTTCACATAAAAAATAATTGAAAATCAATTCAATAAAAATTTTAATAAAAATATAGTTTAAAAAATGTTCACAGGGTCAATTGTAATAGTGGGTCAATTGTAACGTCACAATTGCCTCCAGAATATGTGTTACAACTGCACCAGTGGACGTATTAGAGAAGAATATTTAATACCTTCAGAACTACTGCGAAATACATGCACACAGTACCTAATATTACCACAATCTTTGATCTTTTATAAACCTAATTATCATCTTACACGTACAAATTCTTTGTTTAAAATCGAATAATTTGTGTTTAAAAATCAATATATTCTTACTTTGAAGACACAACTTTGGAAATACAACGACCTGCAAGAGTCCATCGCACCACGCGCTGCCGGCGCTAGACTAAATACATGACGGAACGTGTCTGAGGAGTAAGTACAAGCATACACGCGTAAAAACGACTGATCGTTTTCGAAATATAGACAATGTTACAATTGCCCCCTGTTAGCCTCCGGTCTACGTAGATAATGTTTACCTGAGAATGCAACAGTTTGGAGTCCCGTAGTAAAGAAACATTCATGAGTCGTGGATTCGGTGTGTTGAAGATCGTGCGGTTTTCCCTCCATCTTGCCCTGAAATTTAAACTACAATTATTATAATGCTACAAAAGCAAAATTTTAATCTTTCATCTTTATAACAACCGACATACTTTATGTTCTAGTTTAGTATATTTTCCATTCAATATTTCGATTCTTCCTACGTAATCTTGTATAAAGGAGTGCATTTTTTCATTAAATCGCTTTATTTTTATCTAGGTCTATAAATTATAACAGTATAATGTATACTTTATAATCTAACTATTTACTGTTTAGTAAACAGTTACATTACAAAGTATGAAAAATAATAAGTATGTATCAAATTGTAAATGCTCTTCACCGCTTTCTGTTTAGGGTACTTTTAGAGCATCAGGTGTGGGGAACTCATCATTACCTGCTAAAGAGGCGGAGAACGACGCAGATAATGACAAACATGAGTGCCATAGCCACAAGAATGCCAATCATTGCCGGGTCTAACGTCTTCAACGATTCTTCTTGTCTCTTTTCCGCTGAAAATCAATGTATTTAAATTTTTATATATATTTACATGATAACACCATAAAACAAATTAAGTTTATAGGTAGCAGGTGTAGCTCACAACGTCTTCAGAGTAGAGTACAACAATGCTTTTAGGGTTTTCGTGGTTTTAGGTTTGGTATAAGATGTGATGACGTGACCTCCTTACATCGTAATTCCACCTTTTAATCGTTCTTTAATTACTTTGCCTCGCCATTTTGATTTTATTTCGTTCCATCGCTACTCCCTGCTCGAACGCGGCAGCAAACAGTATTGCTCTAATTTTTAATTGCGTCTAATTTTGATTATTTTACCAGTTTTAATACCAATCTGTAGTAACTACTTATAACCATGAGCCAATTTTAATACCAATCTGTAATATTGTATAACTCGGCTTTTTCGGAGTAAGTCTGTCTCACGTTTAGTATTTAAGTAGGCAATGTTTTGTAGCGTTGTACTTGTTTTTTATATATACCTTTTGATTTAATTATGAATAAATTTTCTGCGGGCCGAAGTATCCTATTTTATTGCCGTGAAGCTGGTCACGGTTCATTAGGGTTTACAACCTTCTCAAAGACAAGACATTAATGGTATTAGGCTTCGATATTGCAGTGCTTCGGGGTTGTTCGCATCTGCGCGCGTTGATTGTTTTACGAAACAATGCATAAAATATGTGCTTTACTTGTGCGCAAGGTGAGAGACAGCACCAACAGAGTCCCAGAAATTATCTCCAACAGGCTAGACTGTCGTTTCAAGAATCACTGCTATGCGATTTCTAATGGCATCCCAAAGGGATAATAGAATGATAGTTGTTAGATTATTTAAAAATTTTACAGATATAATTAACATAGCTATAAATATGTACCTTACAAATTATGAATAGTGTATTTGAATAAATAAATAAATAATTATAATAGTAATAATATAAAGTAATATAAAGTAGTAATATAACGTCCTTTATAAGGAAAGCAATGCTCTGGTACACTACGTACTTCCCTAAATATTTTTAATTTAGTACTAGTAGCTTTATGGAATACCAATAAATAATTGAATGACTAATCTTAACTTGCACTTTATCTTTAAATTAATAGTCGTGATTCAAATAACAAAGATAGTGTAGGACGCCCTCTGGCCAGATGGAGTGACAATCTGCGAAAGACTGCTGGCAGCAGATGAATGCGACAAGCTGAGTTCGGGCGAAATGGCGAACATTGGGTGAGGCCTATGTCCCGCAGTGGACTACGATACGCTGATGATGATATCTGCTAAAAGCTGCTGGCAGCAGATGGATGCGACAAGATGTGTTCGGGCGAAATGACGCACAATGGGAGAGGCCTATGTCCAGCAGTGGACTGCGATAAACTGCTGATGATGATGTGATTCAAATAATTATATAAAGAGATCTTACGTTTACATGCGACAGTGCCATCCACAGTGACTTCAGGGATCATCTCGAACATACAAGCGCATCGCTCGTTCCTACATTCCGTCTGGAACACCATGTCCTCGCATTGCTGATTGAAGGTGCACGACTCGTTGATGCCCGCAGCTGAAACATTGATTTAGAGTTTTTTTATAACTCACGCTTAGCCACAATCTTGCCTGATGTAAAAAAATACCTATTTACTGTAACCACTGTAACCTTGAACAGTCTTAAATTGTACCTTTCAGGGTACAGATATTTAAGGCCCATGTAGATGTAGAGAGTTTTTCGTCTCGAAGATGCGATTATCGAAAGAATATAAAAAAAAAATTTCCTCGTCTAAACATTCGCGATTATCGCCCTTCCACGTGAGCAACAATCGCCTCGCCTTTGCATGTTGAACGTCTCCGTGTAAACAGAACTTGAAAGCAAAAATCGTATTTCGAGTTTTTGTGCCAGCCGTTTCTACCATGCGTGCAGTGCGCGAGGGTGTTTTGATTATCACTGCTTTTATAAGACAATTTAATGGAACGAGAGCGAAAAAACTTTTTTTTTTTTTCAAATAATGGGGAGTGAGTGGGGGGGAAGGGGTGAGTGAGAGGGGAGTGAGTGGGGGGCGATTGGGGAGTGAGTGGGGAGTTAGTGGGGAGTGAGAGGGGAGTGAGTGGGGAGTGAGTGAGGAGTGAGTGAGGAGTGTTTATTACGAATTTACGAATTAACTATTACGAATTAATAGAAATTACGAATATAGCATTTATTTCTAAATCCAAGATGGCGAACACGACTTTTCAAGTAAATGCACTTTTCAATAAATACTCCTCACTCACTCCCCACTCACTCCCCACTCACTCACTCACTCACTCACTCACTCATTCACTCACTCACTCACGCACGCACGCACGCACGCACTCACTCACTCAATCACGCACTCACTCGCCCTATAAATTTATCATAATTGTCAGTTTTTGTTTGTGTCAGTAGTTATAAAATTTAAAAAAAATTATAAACAAATTATAATACAAAATATATTTCTATAAAGTGCAATGAAATTAATATTATCAGCAGTTTCAAATTTGAATGATTTTTGCGTCATTTTGATATATATTTGATATATTTAACTGCGTCTGTGGCCGAACGGTTACCATGCCGGACTGCCACGCAGAGGTCCCAGGTTCGATTATGACCTACATTTATTTCTCTCGTGAGTTTAGGTGTAATTGATAGTTGTCTATGTGTGTGTCCATGGCACCCGCGGCACAGGGTTTCCCTAGTGCGGGGCTATGTTGAGTGTGTGCGTTATTATTATTATTATTATCCATTGTCAATTCCGCAGTAATCACTGAACTCGAATGGCAATTCTCGCACTCAAAACGGTTCGAACCGATTTGTACGATATTCGTATGAACTTGAAAAAATATCATACGAGATCGTGTTTAGACAAGTCGAAAACTCGTAAGCAAGAATCTCCTTACTACATATTTCTCCGTGTAAACAGTCGAGGAGGCGATTAAGTTGCTTGCGAATCTCGTATGACATAATCGCAGGCGAGATTTTAGTTCTTGCCTGAATGTAAACATTATGATACGATAATCTTATGGCGATTATTGCTTCCGATAATCGCTTACGAGTTTTCGTCACGAAGCGTGCGAGAAACTCTCTCCATCTAAATGGGCCTTTAGTTAGCTTGTATCATGGGGTAGCATACATTTTAAATTGATTAATAATTATTAGAGATCATTCCATTCCTCCGTTCCTTTCCGACAATTTCATGAATGGGTATTTTATTTATTTATTATAAATATATTTACAAGTACAGTTAAGAACTAATGCGCCGTGAAAACTAAGTTAATTATGAAAATAATAATGAGAATAAGAAAAAAAATTAAAAAATACACTATTTTTTATGAAACCAAGTAATGTGACGAATGTGTAAGAGGCACGCATAGATATGCAGCAACACGACACTCTGAGCATTAAATCTTAGAGTGGTTACACACGGCTACTTTTACCAGGGATGCGGACGCGCGTTTGCATCGATGCAGTCTCGCGCTTGCATCGCTGCTTAAAATCGCGCGCGTATGTAGAGTTAGACGAATAGCGATTGCATCGCTAATGCATCGCGTTTGCATCGCTGCCAACAAGTCGCTGTGTGTAACTGCTCTTAAAGATCTGAAGGGAATTGTCACTGCGCCCGTCACCTTACATAAGTTGACAAGTTCCCATGTGCCAGTAATTTCTCGAGCTCCCTAGCCCTTCAAAACCAGAGCACAGTAATGCTCACAGTACTGCTTGGCGGCAAAAATACGTAAGGTTGAATTTCCCTGGACGAACTCTTTCATAAGGTGCTCTACTGCTGCTAACATTATAATAATATACTCAGTTCCCTAGTATCTATCGCAAACATTCACAATGCACAGCCGCCCACTGGTATAGGTGCCAGCTAGAAGACACCATGTGAAACACCAGTTGTTAGTTAAGCCTAAACTTCTAGTGAAAATCAATGAATGGGACTGGCTTAAATAATGTATTGGTGTATGGTGGTATCGGGGTATACGGAAGGGGCCTCCCCGCACAATGTACCATAAAATGTGGTGGGTATTTGCAGAGTTCTTTATCTAGGATTGAATGTTGGAAATTTTGGTTGTAATGCAATGTTGCTAAATATCGCACCCTTGGTGTAATGACAATCTGCAAAATGACAACTTTTCGGAAGAGTTTCATTAGTTGATAACGTTTTTATGCTTAAATAGGAGATTCACTTAATATTATAAAAACCTCTAAAAAAAAATCAAAAATTAAAAACTATAGAACGAAATACTTTGGAGAAGCATTTGACAATATCGCAATCTGAATAACTAAGTTACGAAGTTGGAGTATTAATATTTTTTGGGAACCTGACGAAATAGACTTAAAATAATACGTACAAGACATGGGTCAAGTTAGTTTGAACCAAATATGACTAAAGTCTGTTTAATACAAAAAATAAATATAAATATTAGTTTAATTTCGTATGTACGTTGTTTTTCTAATCTACCATTAATAGTTTCGGAAAAATTTTGCTTTTCCACCTTCATCATTATATTATTGAGGATATAGTATAGAATTTTAGAATTCAAATTCGTATTAAGTTATTTTTGAGTACATAGGTTTTTGCGATTGTCACCCATTGATAATTATTCGTTTAGATATATATCCAGTACATTTCTGGCTCATTCGTGACCATAAGACTTGAAAACGTACCGAGGCTTTTGTTTGTTAGCAAAAACAAATAAACGCGATTTATATCGAAAATAGTTTTATTTCCAATTTAATCTATTTTCCCAACGCAAGAGTTACTAAACATTTCTTTAATGGCTTTCACCGTATTATAAGCACGAGCGTGCTTTCCGCTTCGAAGGTAATTATGAATAATATCGGTCGAATATCGATCCAGAGTAAAACTATGTACTTGCTTAACTACCCCTATATATTACTAATAAAGTTATTACACACGTAATATTTATAATGCATACTTATTGTGTCGTCGGTGTTTTGTTTAAAGACGTTACGTGACATTTCGAAGATTTTATGTTTAAACGAGTAATTTAAAATATTTATACCTGGTTTTAAATTCATTTTGGTTTCAATTAAGTTTCTTGTTTTAAAATTGAATATTAACACCGGATATTATAATATTTTAAAACAGTCGTTAGAACCTAAAACATGCTCTCCTGAAAAATTTACGAAATTTCGCTTACGCCCTTTCTACAAAACACCGACAATGTACAGGTTAAAAATTAACATTCTTACACTAGGGTCATAGAACATTTATGAAAATGTAATTTATGTTAAGAATGGTGGATTTTTTTAATGAAAACTAGTTATCAATTCAACATTAATACGAAGAATAAAAATAAACTAGCGGTTCTTAGCAGTCGTTTTCACAAATACTTTTAACAATTTTTGTTTACTTTTAATGTGTTCATTTGTCTGTGGTAATTTAAAAATAATAGTTTAGTTCGCATTTTAAAACTAACAGACGGACGGAAGTTTTAAGTCTATAGTTCATGAAAAACGTCCAGAACTTTTGTATTCATCATGATAATGCCAAATCATCGCATCTTTATAAAGCCTTCAAAACGTTTTTTATTACAATTTTGGATATCTATTGTAATCTCTCTGGCTTCAAGTTATTATTATTATTAAACCATTTATTTCCAGTAACTTTAACATATCTCATAACGCACACACTCAACATAGCCACGCACTAGGGAAAACCTTGTGTCTCTGGTGCCATGGACACACACATAGACAACCACAAATTACACCCAAACTCCATACAACTATTTCTCCCGGCCCGGGAATCGAACCTGGGACCTCTGCGTTTGAATCCGGCATGGTAACCGTTCGCCCACGGAGGCAGTTTATAACTCTTGTTTGTGTTAGTAAATAGTTTATTAACTAGGTGTTAGTTTTAAATAATTGAATGACACTGTCCAATCTATTTGCAATCATGTTCAGGATGATATTGGAACAGGGGGTCGATTCAGATCCTTACACTAACTCAGTTGTCGACCGATTCGATTTGATATCGTACGTTTTCTTTTAATTTTTACTCACAACACCCGAGTCGAAGGTCAAAGTGTCGTATTCGAAACCGAACCAAAATGACGTCACACCCGTACGATTACTCGAACTTCTCGACCAGCAAAGGCTACAAACGTTAATCAGAACACAGTTATCGAATGCAAGTTACCTACGTCCTATTGATTACAAAACAAGAATTAATATGGAAATGTCTTATTATTTTAAATAAAGTCTGGATTTTGTTCAATTTTATTAATTTATTTTAATGCAAGACTAATGCATTCCTATATTTCAGGCCTTTAAAGTCTTAAAAATGTATATAAAAGGATTTTCATTTTTCTTATAATCTATTTCACCGACTAAATCCGTAAACGCTGTTGGATAACGATATCGTATCCGAATCCAAATCGAACATTTAACTGAATAGCTCAGAAAGCGCCCTTCGATTCGAGAACGATATCCAGTCGAACGATTCGATTAAAATATTGAAGAGTTCTGAACCGGGGTCCTGGCCCGCACCCTGCTAACCGTCGTGGAAGCGGTCCAGGCGCGCCTTGTAG